AAAAAAAACCATAATCTGCCTTACAATAATGTCGTTCACTTCACAACCCCATTCAAAAAAACCATGTCGTTCATTACAATGCCCTAATGGCTTGTTACATAACTTCACTAGTGAATCAAAAAAAAAAACCATAAACTGCCTTACAATAATGCCGTTCACTTCACAACCCCATTCAAAAAAACCATGCCATTCATTACAATGCCCTAATGGCTTGTTACATAACTTCACTAGTGAATCAAAAAAAAAAACCATCATAATCAGACTACTGTGAATCACATAGGTTCATCTTCATTTGGGGGTCGGAATGAAACGCATGGGCTCTTCTTCAGAAGGGTTTTGGGTCGAAGACAATCCATCACGTCTTGCCGAAACCATTTTACCCTGTCCATGCAACAGAGACCATTGCTAATAATAAATAAGAAATCTAAGTAATTTGCTAAAAAATGAATTTGATATGTACTCACATGTTCATCAACTGCTATGTTGCTATTTGAAGCAACGGGTTCTAATTCAGCATCGTACCAATCCTGTCCAAAAGTAATAGTCGCATTAGTTTGGGAATGTTTATCAGGCCAAATAAATGTTAAAATAAAGTACGAGGTTCTAGCCAAAGAAATGTACTTACATGAACTGGGGCTCCATTGCTTGAGTGATATCTTTTATTGTGTCCCGTTAATCCACATATCGAGCACGTCATATCTGTCTCAGCCAAGAATTCTGGAAAGCGATAACCAACCTCTTCGTCCGATGAACAAGCCAATACTAACTCCTTAGACGATGGATATTCCAAGTCATCGTCTCCCACCTCCCCTAAACTCAGCTTCCTCACTTCAGTCATGTCCGGTCCAATTTCAATCTCATCCGTCACGTTGCGGTCGTACAATAAACCATCTTCCTCAGAACCAATGTCAACCTCGGAATGAACGAAATCGGGGTCTTCCACATGATCTGTCATCAAATTAAAAAAAATGAATTTCAATAGCTGCAGTTTATATGAATCACCTCTAATTGGAGCTTATGTAAAATCACACTAACTGGAGCTCTAAAATCACACTAACTGGATCTCTAAAATCACACAAACTGGCATTTTGTAGACAACTGCATTCTATATTTTACATTCTCAGTAGACAGCAGCATTCTCAGTATTACAATGAATTGAAGAATATTTACTAGCATTTTGTAGACAGCAGCATTCTCAGTATATTTTCGAAGTGCATATAAATCAAATGAAAGGTGGGCTTTACCTCCGTGATCTCCCTCCATGTTTGCAAATTGAAACCTCAATCAGATGTATGGGCGTGCAGACTACTTTTCGGACATCATTCGTTAGGTCGTGCTGCTGAGGAACGTAATGTGGGGAGCCAATTTGGAGTTTTCGACAGGGACGGTTCGTGATTCTACTGGATTTGGGTGGCGCCTGAATTGGGGATTTAGGTGGACGTTCGATTTAGGGATTTCAATGTCGGGCGGCCAAAATGGAAGTGTTGGGAAGGTGATGACTGGAGTAAAAAGTCCATAATAGGCTCTGAACTTGCAAGTAAATCACGCCGTCTGTCCACGTCTGCTGCCAATTAGGATTCCGTCTATCCACGTCTGCTGCTCTTCAAACGGGTTTCTGGTGGGTGACGGATGGAGGGAACGTTTGACAAGTTCAGTGACCGACCAGCAGCATATTGAAGTTCAGTGACCACAACGTGACAACGATTGAAGTTCAGTGACTAATGAAACTTTTTACTTGGATTATAAAGTTATATGCTTGAGTGGTATTCCATTTATGAAAAGCAACCGCTAAATCAGTAGCTTTTGCCCATGAGTCAATAATTTCACTTTTATTATTGTTATCATCAACATCTAGCCATATTCCTGTTGTAGGAATTTGTTCAGTAAATAATTTAACTAGATTATTATCTTTAAGGTGTATAGACTTGGTTGATGTAGTTCTAACTCATTTTCTAAAATTGTAATTTTCCCGTTCTTCTATTATTCCATGTTCTTTCATCCATTCAAAATTCCAGTCATCAGGCTCGACTTGAGTCCAATCCTTACTTGTTTCTCCGACTAATGTTTGTGTTTCAACTTGTTGATTTAAAGGTGGAGTATTAATTTCAGTTGTTTCTTCTTTGGGTAGATCATTCATATAAATATTCTCAATTTGAATAGTTAATTGTTCTAGACTCTCTTTATAAGCTTCTAATTCTTCCCATGTGGCTTCATAGAATTTAGTTTCTAATTCTTCTATAATATATGCCGATAAAGGTGGTTCAATTGAAGTATAAGAATCCTTAAATTTTGATTCTTTAAATTTAGATTCAATTTGTTTATATAGGATTTTTGGTCCTATTTTAATATTGTCATTCACAATTTCCAAATTAGACTCGATATTTCTTATATGAGTTAAAACATCTTGACTTAAAATATCCGTTTCTCCTAAAGGTTGAGCAAAATTATTATATTGTTCTAAAAATTGATTTATAATAATATCTTCTTCTTCTTCATTTTCAGAAAATTCATCAACTAATATTTGTAATCCTTTATTTTTTATTTCTACTAAATGTTGAGAACTATTTACTTGTTTTATCTCTTCACTTAGAGATTTATATTTAATACTTAAATTTGTTGCTAATTCTTGTAATTTAATTCGATTAGTATTAGTTAAAATATTAATATTTTGTAATTCTTCTAAAATCATTTTTTCTTTTCTATTCATTTTTAAAAATTTTCTTTAGTCTCGTTACTAGGCTCTAATACCAATTATAGTGATAAAATGCGGAAAACAATTAAAATATAGAGATAAGGGTAAAATAGATAATTAAGTCATAAAATGACAAAAAATTGTGAAAGTTAATGTGAAGGCAACTGTAAGAGAAGCATTATTCATGAAATAATGTCAAATGAATCCCTGTAAACTAATCTGGCAAAATTCCCTACACACATAGCACAGTTGAATAAATAAATGGGAAATGCTGGGTACATGGGTACCCACTCACATGAGGTGGGTCCCACGCGGGACCCATCTCAATAAAAAAGTAAAAAAAATTACACCCACCCTCTTTTGTGAGTTGTCGATGAACCGCTACCCTGTACCCCCATCATTTCCTCATATAAATAGACCAACTTGTATAAATAAAATGAAATTATGAATCTAGAGAAGGCACTAAATTATGAAAATTCCGACTGTCTTCTTCTAATAAAAAAAGAAATAAATAATTTTTTTTCACATTTAAAGCTTTAGATGGCGTCGTTCAACTGAAACTAGACTTTTCAATACGTTATCAGATATAGTTAATGTACAATGTAAACATGTAAACAATCAATCAACTCCATATCAGTAGCTCTTTCTCTGCATATCATAAACATAATCCACAACGATGCATCAAAAATTTTCTATTTTTTTGATACCTCAGGAATGATCATCAATTAATTACATTCGACGTCCCTCTGAAAAGAAAGAATTATTAGAAAAAAAGTACTCGTTACAATAGGGACAGAGAGTTGGGGTTCACGACAATATGCTTGAGAGGGTGATCCACATCACTGCCTCCTGCATGCAAGACGAACTCCGCTGGTGACAAGAAGCTGCCATGACAAATACACATTATCCGCACTTCTTCTCCTTTTCCATATTTGTATAGTATCCCGTCCACTCTTCTACCACTAGGGCCGTCTCCTTTTGTAAACACACATGGCATATCCTCCATCATATTTGTTCCCGTCTCTTTACCTCGACTTCTTGTGATATGAGATCTCCTAGATGGATTCTCCATAGTGTTTTCTCTTGCTTTTGTCCTGGAAGAGCCTGCTTTTCGATCTTGCAAGGACTGGACACTGGCAGGACTCGGTTCATCACCACCTGCAATAGAAAAAGAGTAGATCTAAAAACTCAAAAGCAAGAATCTTGCGAGATTCTTCCCCATTATAGTAGATATACTTCATATAAGAATACTTGAATACATAATTGGAACACGATGGATTATGCAGAAAGGTAATGAATTAACTCTTCTAGTATCAGATTGTGTTACTCTTCTCCAGAAGATGGGTGACATTTAACCGAACATCAAGCTAACTGTCAATATAACCTAGCAACCCTAAATTGATTTCCATTTTAAGAAATAAAATAACTTGTCAACTGATAGAAAGAGATAGAATTGTATAGGATTATGTTTTGCAACTGCACAAGAACTAATTAACTATCAAGAAAGAGTACGTTTCAGTGCCTAGAAAACTAGTTCATGTAACCGGGGAGTATTAATAAACATAATGAAAAAACCAAGCCTTCGCGGTTCACCCTCAGCTATGCCCAATTGCCATGCAGGTATATCATTAAAAAGGAGAAAAGTACAAAGTTTTCCTCACGCTTTCACACACTCAAAACTGACCCCCCTAAAGCCTCCATTTGGGAGAATTTATGGATGGTTTAACTTATACTACATTCGGGTCCATTTGAATGTGTAGTTGGAAATGAAATTTGACCATTTGTAAATGATTATAAATTTTGCGAAATGAAGGCTAAATCAGTTATGTCATAGGAATTAAGCCGATCCCCTTAACTACTGTACAATATGTTCAGGCTCCAGTCCAACAATCCACACATTGAAACTCTTCAGAATATATCTCATTTCCAAATGACTTGGAGCACCAAGGCAAGAAGGTAGACATATATTTGTATTCAAGCTTGGTGGGAAGACATGGTTTTCTAGCCAAACTTCTTGACAGCATGTTTGTGTAGTTTCATTAATTGGCATTGTCCCATCAAAAACCAATTTATGCTGCTCAAACCATTTGCATATCTTTATCCAGGGAATACTTGTTTAACGATTAAACACTGGGGTAGCTGCCTGGAAAATTTATTGTGCCTGCAAATGGACATTACACTAATCTAAAACCTGCAAATTAAGCTCTAGTAACTAGTAGGGTGTATGGTAAGAAGAATAGAATAGTAACAAGGAAAAATGTCCAGTATAATGCCAATCCCGTCCGTATCAAACACGCATTAGAGGTATCTACCTGATAGCTATTTTCTAATCAATACATGATCAGCATGTCTAAATATATTAGCAGAAGCATGCAAAACTGTTCTCTCTTACCCCTAGTCTATAGAAATATTGTTCTCTCTTACCCCTAGTCCATAGAAATAGAAATTCAACGTGTACAAAATAGTGGCATTTCAGATTTTTTCAAAAAAGGACTTAAATCCATAATCATTTACTAGTAATCTGTAAAGAAATCCCAATGACATAAACTAAACTACCAGCAGATAATGTGTCTTTAGTGATGCCGCCAGACCATGCATCGCACATTAAACCTAGGTCTGCTGAAACATGAAAGGCCACAAATTGTGGCATCTAATTCTCAGTAAGCCATGCACATCCAAAGGTAAACTCTATGAAGATTGATTCTAGCATTTCTTATTATTGAACTCCTATGACTATATATTAGTAAAGAAGCAAGAGAATAGAGAATGAAATGTACCTTACTACCTACCAGGAAAAGACAGCATCTATTTCATTAACAAATCCACTCATAAATAAACATTAATTAGGCAGGAAAAAATCTTGTAATACTAGTCAAAGATATAATTTTCCATTCACTATCTAATCCCCTATAAATATTGACTATAAGGAAGCAAAGAGATTAAGCCCTTGTTTGGTGGGGATTAAAATCAGATTTTTAGTAAATTTTGATAAAAGTCGATGAAATATGCGGTTAATAAATTGTAGGACCCATAAATTGTGATTAAAATTCACTGTTGACTTTGACTTAGATTAAAATCTAATTTCTACCAAACATGGGCTAAATATAAATTACCTAAATAGAACAAAACTATTTCATAATATCTTCTTTTGATGGTGAAATGAATCATATTAGAAATATTTTCAGCAATATACCAATTATGTAGATAAGTCAAATATGTTATACTTTAACTACAAAGGACCACTTTATGATTTCTTCCCACCATGAATAAATTTATTAAACAGGCTTTTATGAAGTTGAGTGGACATAAAGAATAATCTTTATGGCTCCAATTCATGTGCCAAAAAAAAAAGTGGCATAAGTGATTACCAAGGGAAAAACATTTAACTGGCCCTTGCCAAACCTGAATGCTCAATCACCCATCATGGTGCTACTATTCTTTTTCTTTTATTTACTGTTAAGAGTTGAAGAATTCATCCAGTCAGTGTATGCTAGTGATAGTTTCTCCCCCCTCTTGTCCTTTTTCCATGGTATTCCTTTTTCATTACCTTGCCAAACCAGAATGCTCAATCACCCATCATGGTGCTACTATTCTTTTTCTTTTATTTACTGTTAAGAGTTGAAGAATTCATCCAGTCAGTGTATGCTAGTGATAGTTTCTCCCCCCTCTTGTCCTTTTTCCATGGTATTCCTTTTTCATTACCTTTTTCTATTATAGTGAGGGATTACTACCAATGGTGCAACCCTTTCCTTGTGTCCTGATAACTTAAGCTATCGATTATTATAAATTGAAACTTTGTTATCAAAAGGAATATAATTTCGTAGAAATAAAGAACACGAGAAATTCAAGATTACCACTTTAAGATTGACAGGTCAAAACCACTCGGTGAAAACTTACATACATAACATCGAAATAGGGAAAGACATACAGAAGAATATCTATAGAAATTCGGTAACTGGATTCTAGCACCCTATGCTTCTTTATGACAGCAATATATGTTAATGACCTGAAATCAGTGCCCAAGCCTCAAACTAAAAATTGAAGCACCATAGCAATCTTAGAACCATAAAGTTTTTATGTAGAGATGAACATCAATCTATAATAACAATGTTACAATCATTTAACTCATCTCAAATCCTAACTCAATACAAAAACAAGGTAAAACTTATACACTATAGATCAAAAGCTTTCTATGAACTTTCTTCTTCACTATTATCTAACCATAACTCGTCAGGTCCACAATCAATGCCGTTCAAAGAAATCTAGCTGACAATCAATGATTATTGAGAAACAGAAAGAATCATGAACGACGATATACATAAATGAAATTTGCCTCATTATGAATAGTGGCCCTTTTATGGAATGCGACTTTATCCACAAATTGTAAGTTGCATTTTGGTTGGCTGATCAAAATAAGTACATTCACAAAGCTATTTGTCAACAAAGAAGAACGGATAATTGTAAAACTTATCACGTACCCATGTTCGATACGTATCCAAACTTGGCTACACTTGGACACTCTAACACGTACCGGATACATATTTTTTATATTTTTATATTTTTAAAATTTTCGATACGTATCGAACACATTATGGCACGTAAAGAAGTGAGTTTTATTGATTTTAAACTATTTTAAAACTCATTATTATTAATAATAGATGACAAAGTTTTTTACTAAATAGATAATTATTGTTATTATCAATAACTTATTGAAAATATATAATTTTTATTAATTAACAATTTCAAAGAAAGTAAACTTGTTTTAAGATAATAAATAACAACACAGTTTGCACTTATTATTAAAAATAGTTATAATATTAAATAATTGACAACTAGAATTTTAAATTAATTGACAACGAGAGTTTTATTATTGAAAATAGACAACTAAAATTTTAAATTAATTGACTAGAGCTTTATTATTGAAAATAGACAATAGTATTAAATCTTTTAATACGTATAAAACCATGTTTATAGTTGACAACTATAGTTTTATTATTGGAATAGTAATATTATTAAAACTTTTAATACACGTATCGTATTTGAATTACGCATCTAAATCCGTGCTTCTTAATCTATCAAAATATCCCATAACAGATGAGCACGATTTACTAAAGATCGGATCATTTAAATGAAAATACCCAAGAGAACACAAGATTCCCTGTCGGATAATTTGATAAATTTTATCCCTATAGGTCAGTGCTGAGGCCACACAAGTTTACCAACATCAACTTCTCCAGTCAAAGACGGATCCAGGATAGGAGTCCAAGCCGGACTAAAAAAAAAAATTTACTCATAAAAAAATTTTTAAGAGAAAAAAGTAAATTTTTACACTAAAAAAATTAACGAGCGCGGGACTAGATCGGGCTACAGCCCGGCCCAGTTCCCCCCCCTAAATCCGTCCATGCCTTAGGTTCTGCTAAGTGCTATCTCTATTCAAACTCCAATCCCAATTGCAAAATATCCCTTTGTAAAATATCCAACATGCTTTACTTCAATGGAAAAATGTCATCAATATCACCAACTTTTCGTTTATCTAACTAGCCACAGAAGTTTCACACGAGAAAACCTTATTGCCACTAGCTAAATGAGGAATTAACAGCATAAGCTGCAGAATAGTTTTATAGTGGTAGATTCGATAAAGAAACTACAAGGTAAAATCTTAATTTCCTAAAGAGGTGTTGACATTACAAAAGGAAGCAATGGCAGGTAATTTGAAAAAAAGTGACAATAGGCAGAAATTAAGGAGAAGAAAGAAAGACCGAAAAGGAGAAATCTCAAAAAGAGAAGTAAGATGTATGCTCAAAACTAATCCTCAATCCCAGAGCAAAATAGTAAGTAAAATTGGATAACTAGTGAAAGTACGGTTTGTTGATATTCAAATTATGCACGTCCTAAATGAAAATTGAGGCCACGTTATTTAGCAACTTAGCATATAATAGGGGATTTAAAGTTGGACTTAGAACGATTAAATTATAATTTATATTGATTTTTCATGAATTGCAATTCAATGCTCCAACACTGTGCCACCAAACAAAGTGGAACACTCATCTGAACTAGGAACAGCAGCCTGTCAACGTCAAACATCAACCCCAAAGACAGATATCAAGAATAATGAAATGCTGGTTATTGCTCAAGAAATGTCAAACAAGGGAATCATTAGTTATCTCAAGCAGATTAAATTCATTTGAACCTTAAACATAATAAAGAAATCACGTCAGAATTCAAAAAGAAATTCACACTATTTGATTAAATACAAAAAGAAGTAAGCAAATGAAAGGAAAGGTAAATTGAATTACCATGTAGAGGTTTACTCTCCAATTCAGACATGCTTGAAGAGCTCCCCCCTTGTGACTCCAATGACCCTTGAGACATTGGTTGCCCGGACCCTTTCGTCCCACCACCACTCTTCCCTTTTGGCACCGTTGCATCAATCCCTCTTCCAATAAGGGCCTGTCTAGCAGCAGCAGCAGTCCACGAAGACAGCCGGACTGGCGGCCCCGCCCATTTGTTCCCGGCTGCAGAAAGTGTCTCTCTATCCAATTTAACCCTCAAATTCACCTCAGTTTCTCTCTTCTCCTCCAAAATCAAATTGCCACTATTTCCCCCACCACTGCAGCCGCTTTCTTTATCACCCTTCAATATCCTTTGCTTCTCTGACCTTCTCCTCTTAGCCTCCATTCGTCTTAAGGTCTGTAATTCCTTCCTCTTCCGCCACTCCTCCTCCGTCTCTACTGGCAATGAAGAGGTCCTCACCAGGCTGTCATACGCGACCGGTGGTGGTGCCACCGCATCATTATCATCTCTCACCACTGGTAAACACTCAGCTATAGAAGATGACCTCACTAACTTCTTAGAACTCTTGTCTACACCAAATCTACCCCCCAATGACAACCCAAGATTCAACTCAATCTCCTCATCCTCCTCTTTCACCGCATCGTATTCGCTACTACTACCCATAAACCTTTGCAACAAGTCCTTAGAAAATATGTTTGTTGCAATCTCCAAAGAAAGATTCTCCATTTTTGAAGCTCTTAAATCCCTCATGCTATCATCACCATCCCCCATAGGACATAAAACAAACCCCAGTACCTAGATCACTATATACAAAACTACTTCAACTACATGGAGACGTATATGAATGTTTATGCACTCCATGATATGAATCACACATGCCCAGATGGAAAAATCTGATCTTTGACTCCATATTAACTTTCTCAACCTCCAAAGTAAGAAAAGATTTACACACAATTCAAGCAAGATGTTGAGTTGTAAACCTATGAACCGAGAACCCTACACTTAAATCAAGATTTTTTTTTAAAGAGAGAGAGAGAGAGAGAGAGAGCGAGAAGCTCCAAAACTAAGACTGATATTCATAAACCAAAAATGAAAAAAATAACAAAAATAAATACTGGGTTATCTGATTAATTACGAGTAAATATTCGAAATAACGCGAAGAAATTATTGGGTAAAAAAGAGGTGAAGCAATCAAGAGTCTTGTGGTCTCTACATAGACCCAAGACGAAAAACCAGTGTGGAAGATGGAGGATTTGAAAAGACTAAAATGACCTTCGGTCACTAGAGAATGTGGGGACAAGGAAAGTACTCAGAAAGGACAAGTGGCTGAAGTGAGAGAGTGTGGTCGACACGTGGATCTGACGATAGGCTTTTTTGGTAGGGTTTGAGGACAGGAAATGTTACGGTGTGGTTGGGCTCATGTGGTGTTTTGAACACCCATGTTAATCATGGCTGATCATCAAGCAAGAGTACAATCACGGCCAGATCAATTAAGATTGTTTTAAATTAAGTGCCACTTGTCATTTTGTTTTTATTTTTTACTTCCTCAAATAAAATAAAAGAGATCACATAATATTATAAATTAAAAAAGAGACCAATATGGAAAATTTATCAATTATTTTATTCACTTCACTTGCCAAATATTTTGAGGGGTTTCTATTGACCTCAAATTCTGTACTTCTAACGTGGTCAATAGATCTCAATTCTTTTCGCGTCTACTCAAACTTGATTCTTGTACACTTGGATATATAGCCACACAAGACTTCCTTCGATAGTGGTAGAGTTGGCCGCTAGCACTTCGTCGGTCTAGTCAGTTGTATTAGTAAATATATAAGTATATAAGGTACTTTGGACGCTAACCTTCAATATAAAAAAGGGGTCGACTTTGGGAAAGTCTGTGACAATAATAGTAAGGATAAAAAAGTTGTAGTTTGAGAGTTTAAACTTGCATTACATTTGGAATGACACATTGTGTGAGTTTTTATAATATAATATGATGGATATTGGCCGTATGATGGTAGTGTACGTGGTCTCATCTACACGGCTTACATATCTTGTTAATAGTATCAATCAATCTTAAGGACGATAACAACAGTGAATTGTCACATCAATCACTTATTAAGGATTGCATAAAAGATCTCCTATTAGGCCCTCTCTTGTAGCATCTCCTGCCATGAGGGTTCAGTTCTATATATGAGGTTGACTCAGTCAAAGGGGTTCGACTGCCCATATAGGTTCGACCTCTTCATGGAGTTCGACCAAACTGCCTCTGGGTAGAGTGACGTGGAGTGTGAGCTCAAGTTTCTTGCCACGTAGTATCGCAGGATCATTTGGAGTCTCGTCGGACGAGGCATAACAATAGTTCTCGAAATTCATGTATGATTATTCATATAATACGTGGACTTTTAAGTTGAGGTTTAGCTTCTGGAGTGAGATGTCCTTTGTTCAATTTGGATCGTGTCGTGTTTTTGCAAAGGAATTGACCTCGAATTTTGTATATCTAACATGGCCAACAGATTTAAAGGCCTCTTGCTTCCACACAAACCTGATTCGTGTACATTTAAACAAACCATTAGCCATACGTGACTTCCTCCGGTAGGGTGGAGTTGGCGCGCGCACTCCAACGGTCAAGTCAGTTGTGGCTGTAAATATATGAGTGTGAGAAGTGCTTTAGATTCGATTCTCCAATACAAAAAATGGTCGACTATAGGGAAATTCGTGATAATATCAATAAGGATAACAAAGTTGTAGTTTAAGAGCTTAAACTTGCATTACCTATGGACACATTGTGTGAACTTTTATAGTAGAATATGATGAATATTGGCCGTGGGATGGAAGTTTACGTGCCCTCATCCACGCGGCTTATGCCTCTTGTCAATGACATCAATCAATCATAAGCATTTAATACTAATACCATTTTGTTACCCATAATTCTGATAAGAGAAGTTTAGACTTAACTTGATTAGCTGGATTGGACGACAGTAACAGTGAATTGACACATCAATCACTTATTAACGATTGCATAAAAGATCTCCTATTAGGTCCCCCTTCTAGCCTCTCTCGCCATAGGGGTTCGGTTCTATATATGAGGTCGACTCAATCAAATGGGTTTGACTTCCCATATAGGTTCGACCTCTTAATGGAGTTTGACCAAATTGCCTCTTATGCAGAGTGACGTGGAGTGTGGGCTCAAGTTCGCTTAATTGTATAAATTCTACATAGAAGGCGTGAATAACATAATATTAAGTTTTCATAGATTCAATCATAGGGTTATGACATCCTTGATCATCAATTTATTCGAACTCAATTTTTTTCATCAACATAAAACTTAGTAAAAAAAAAAATTGTCCACATCCTAGTAGGACCACTCAGTGAGTTCACTCTAAACTCATGTCAAGCTTCAGACAGTTCAAACTCCCGTTCACAAATTAGATCTTGTTAATTTACATAATTTTAATTACTAAACAACAAATTTACAGATGACATCGAAGCAGGATAAGGATCATGTTTCCTACTGTGATTTCTCGACTAGCTTGAGAATTTTGAAACTATTTCAAACGTGATGATGTAGAATAGGGCGGGATGAGTTATTTTTCATTCTTATACAAATTAGTTCAATTTAAGTTAAAATTAATAATTAATTTTTTAATCACATTTTATAGATATCGTAATTTTTCAACCACATACTTCATCAACTTTTGTTAAAATTTGATAAAATTTTGATTTTAATCCCCTAACCGAGGTTTAAAAAAATAAAGAGTAGAGTGCAAACTATTATAGTGAGGGGGAAGTCCGTGGAATACAAACCCTAGGTGGAGAAGAGAGAGAAAGTGATGGGACGCGTGTCAAGAAATGAATGAAGGAAGAGAAGTGAGACACGTGTATTGTAGTACTTCTGCCTCGTAATGTCGCAAAGTTTGTCCACTTTTGCCTTTATTAATAATTGAAACGCACTTATCTGTCGTCAAAGGATTGTGTCCTAATTTATATTATTATTACAAATTGGACACGTGTTTAGGAATTCCCAACTTCTTGTTTGGGTCAATTTTAGGAAATTCCAATTGGTGAAAATTCTACCCAAACATGGCACTACATTATTGGTTTTTGTGGGAGATAAGGGTTACCCTCTCTCTATCTGTAATCTAATCTTCACTCCACCACAACCCTACAAGTTCAAATTTTTAACATTGAGATCTATGTGTCCTTTTAATATGAAATCAAAGATTAAGTGATTGTTTGTTTGAGATTTTTAAATTTTATAATAAATCAATTCTTATTTTTAATCATACATTTTTTAATAAAATAATATTTTTCATCACATTAATAATTTTTTCTTCTTTTTCAATCATACATTTCCCTTCATATCACTATCGTCATTAGGGCTAGATTACTGTTTTTTATAAATTTGAAATTTTAAATAGAAGATAAAGTTTTTAATATGATATTAGATTTAAAAGCTTAAGCGGAGGATCTGTTTGAGCCTTATTCTTTTGCCAAAATATATTTTGGAATAGTGATTTGATGAAAACTGTGTGGTTAAGAAATTAATATTATTTTATTGAAAAATGTGTAGTTGAAAAGAAGAGAGAAAATGAATTTTAAAAATAATAAAGATCAAACCATTGGATTCCAAGATTAATATTCTTAAAAAAATTTCAATCTTAAAAGTAAATATTTTGAAGAGTTAAAACAATTAAGCCGCTATTTGATATTGATTAAAATCAAATTTTAATATAAGTAAAAGTCAAACAATCAACATTAATCATAAATTTCATTGGTCACATAACTTTTCAACCACAAATTACATCATCTTTTATCAAAATTTACTAAAAATTTAATTTTAATCTCTATCAAACAAGAACTAAAATTAAGTTATAAGAGACTCTTTATTTTAATTTATTAAAATATAACGTGCATTTTTTTTTCTACTTTTGAAGAATCAAACTCAATCTCTATTTGTAGTTTATCAACGTTGGATTTAGCCCCTGTTTGATGTAGATTAAAATCAAATTTTTAGTAGATTTTTAATTCTACAAAATTTTAAATTAATTTTAATCTCCACCAAACAAGACATTAATAAAGATGATCTTTAAAAATGAAAAATTTCTTGAAAATGTTCCAGCAGAGATAACCTTTACAGATGAACCCCAAACAAGAAAGAAAGTAAAAAAGTTATTTTTTTTCTTAGTTTTTTTAGTCATAAACAGCTTTTAAGATGTAGCTTATACTTTTCATGAATTGACATTCCGTCTTCTCCCCTTTTCTCTTTATACTTTCCCCTTAAAATGTGGAAATTAATTAAGGGAAATTAAAAACATGTTATTGTCAAATAATATTTTTCACATTTTATATTAAGAGAAATCGAGAATTTCTTATTGATAAATGTCTTTCTTATTTTTGATATACAACTAGAATTTATAATATTGATGAACAACCAATCTCTGAAAGGCTAAGCAAATCCCACAACTCTGTTTTGTCAAAAAATTAAATAAAATACTATCCATTATTACCGCGTAAAAAGTTGAAAGTGCAAAAAATACATTGCAAATAAGTGTATGCTTGGAAATTTATATTCCAGAAGGTTCGAGTAGCCCTTTCACATATTATTATTATTATTATTATTATTATTATTGTGTATTGGGCTGCCTCATAATTCTTTGGCCCAGTTGATTGTGTTGGGCTAGTGATGGACCGGTTTCTTTGGTCCAGAACTTATTTCTCTTGGCTTTGTGATCTGGCCCTACACTTGGCAGATCTCCACCTTTGATGAAGACGCTTGGACTCCCTGTCTTATAGTGATTCTCGAAGCTTCATTCTAGAGTAACTGTTCAGTGTCTTTGAGAGAGTTCTCTCTGTTTGATTAGGGTTCATCTCTTCTTTTTTTGTCGTTTTGTAAATTTTAGTGATTTTTGTATATTTCTTAGTGATAGGGTAATGAGAGCACTTGATCTATACTATGTGAGATTGTTTATATTCTAAGTAATTTGAGGCTAGAACAAACTGAAAAAATCTAATTTCTTAACACATTGTAATCTGTTTCTTGGTATTTTTAGTGAATTAGAGCGTAATCCCTTTGTGTGGATGCTCAACGGGTAAGTAGGTCGAAGGCTGAACATCCAGATCCTTTGGGTGAAAAAATTCTTTGTGTTGTTCTTTATTTTTCGCAATTCACTGTTTTAAATTGTATTCTTTGTGAATTATGAGACCAACAATTATTATTATTATTATTATTATTATTATTATTATTAGCAACATCTGATTTGTAAAGGTTTGATTGCTTGATTTTGATTGCAATTTTTTTCTGAAATGGCAAGAATTTATGTATTAATTATGAAAATATTTATTTATACTACAGGATCATTACGAAAAATAAGTTTATGCATATCAAAATAAATAACGAAAACTAGAATAAATTTGAGCCATTGTGGGGGATTATAAGATCTCATTAACAAATTTCAAGGCGTTTTGAAATTTATATTTGCAGAATACAAAGCAATCATCCCACATAGAGCACTTTATATTGGTAAGAATTTGTTTGGGAGAGATTATTTCAAGTATAATTATTTAAAGAATATGTGGTTAAAATGTAAGAAAAATTATGGTACACGCATAAAATTATTTTATTAAAAAATTATTAGGTTAAAATTAAATTTGATGAAAAATAATTTTCAAAACAAACAAATCCTTGTATGTTTTGAGAAAGTCAACATATACGAGTATATATCTTAGGACCTCAAATCTCAAAAATAAGTTTATTTGTTCGGATAGACATCAGAAGCATACTACATTGAACATCGTTTATTCATGACCTAAAAATAATTCTTTGGCCCAGTTGATTGTGTTGGACCGGTGATGGACCGGTTTCTTTGGTCCAGAACTTATTTCTCTTGGCTTTGTGATCTGACCCTACACTTGGCAGATCTCCACCTTTGATGAAGACGTTTGGACTCCCTGTCTTATAGTGATTCTCAAAGCTTCATTCTAGAGTAACTGTTCAGTGTCTTTGAGAGAGTTCTCTCTGTGTGATTAGGGTTCATCTCTTCTTTTTTTGTCGTTTTGTAAATTTGAGTGATTTCTGTATATTTCTTAGTGATAGGGTAATGAGAGCACTCGATCTATACTATGTGAGATTGTTTATATTCTAAGTAATTTGAGGCTAGAACAAACTGAAAAAATCTAATTTCTTAATACATTGTAATCTGTTTCTTGGTATTTTTAGTGAACTAGAGCGTAATCCCTTTGTGTGGATGCTCAATGGGTGAGCAGGTTGAAAGCTGAACATCCAGACACTTTGGGTGAAAAAATTCTTTGTGTTGTTCTTTACTTTTCGCGATTCACTGTTTTAAATTGTGTTCTTTGTGAGTTCTGGGACCAACAATTATTATTATTATTATTATTATTATTATTAGCAACATCTGATTTGCAAAGATTTGATTGCAATTTTTTTCTGAAATAGCAAGAATTTATGTATTAATTATGAAAATATTTATTTATACTACAGGATCATTATGAAAAATAAGTTTATGCATATGAAAATAAATAACGAAAAATAGAATAAATTTGAGCCATTGTGGGGGATTATAAGATCTCATTAACAAATTTCAAGGCGTTTTGAAATTTATATTTGCAGAATACAAAGCAATCATCCCACGTAGAGCACTTTATATTGGTAAGAACGTAGTTACAGTTTGTTTGGGTGAGATTATTTATTTAAAGAATATGTGGTTAAAATGTAAGAAAAATTATGGTACACGCATAAAATTATTTTATTAAAAAATTATTAGGTTAAAATTAAATTTGATGAAAAATAATTTTCAAATAAATTGCAACAAACAAATCCTTGTATGTTTTGAGAAAGTCAACATATACGAGTATATATCTTAGGACCTCAAATCTCAAAAATAAGTTTATTTGTTCGGATAGACATCGGAAGCATACTACATTTAACATCGTTTATTCATGACCTAAAATTTTTTACCATTTCATATCCTTTATTTTTTATTTTTATTTAATTTCTGGAGTAAAATATTGGATAAATGTTCCTAATAGGAATCAATTCTAAAACTTTTCACTATTAAGCCCATGTTCGTCTACCATTCTAAAATTAGCAATAGTCGTTCTACATAGTATACATATGATAACTTATTATTTGATTCATGAAGTAATAAAAAACTATCACATTAATGTATCAAATGACAAAATGTCACATGTATGTCACATACGTCGACTATCGATAACCTTCTCTATGAATAACATTACTCTTTTAAACCCATTGGATCCATTTCCATGTTCAAGATTTCCACCATTCCTCTCCAAACCCGCGCTGCTGTTGAGAAATTTCAGGTGGCGGGGCCGAGCTGGTGCATTTTATTTTTGCCATCCCTCAATTTCAAATACAAACTCAAAAATGGCAATTAAAAAAAAAACAAATTCTAACATGGGCAGCAGCAGCCTGTCATTCGTTCTCTTGCCAAAAGAGATATCTAACAAAAGAAGAAAACATTCCACTCGTGCGACAGAATACTAATTACCAAGTTCTAAGGGACAACAACCTGCATGATGTATTTCTTGACAAAAAGAAATTTTCAAAATTCATGATTATGTAGTATGAACTATAGTAGATAAATAGAATGATTTCTATGAAAAACCAAAAATCCTGAGGACAATCTAGAATCTAGGCAGATTAATTCACGACTCCGTTGCTGGCCGCCACTCCTTCACTTCCATTCTCGCTTGTAAAATGATCGACTTCTGTGCTACGTTGAGAAGAGCTATTTTTGCCCTTTCTAAAACCAGTTTGGTTTCCATTCTGAAACCTTCTGTTTCTGTAGCTGTTACCTTCACCATTTTCCCCTCCCCTGAAATTGCCATTTCGAAAACCACCTCTTGCTGGTGCAGATGCCCCTTCACGGTTGCCACCTGTTGAACGAGATAAACAGTCAGTCTCCCACAAATAATGAGTAATTTCACCAACTGTACAACCAACAAAATTGAACCCTGTTTACGTGAATTTTAAATAAAACAGTTAGAAGAAAAATGTGTCTACTTACCTCGATTTGATCTCTTATACATTATATAGGCTTCTTTTTCACCAAAAGTAACATGATGAGCCTGAAAAAATTAAAATAACCAAGTTGTGTGAAAATTTTTACATAAATATCTCGAGCATAGTATAATAGTTGTAGCAAATACCTTGACTGCACGGTGTGCAGCATCTGAGGATTCAAATTCCACAAACCCACAACAAAATCCATCCTGGCAACGAATTTTGAAAAAGGTCAGCAGAAGAAGGAAATGATAAAATTCAGGCACAACGTGTATAATCTAAATACGAAGCAGACCTCATGCTTTTTAATCTGGACACAATCATTAATTCGTCTGACTTGCCCAAATTGACTAACGACTTCTATGAGTGAATTTTTTGTTATATGGTAAGGCAATCCTCCAATATATATTCCTCTAGCTGAGACGGTAAAATCAAATAAACTAGTTAGCGAGAACATCATAAACACCTTGAACAGACGAAAAGACTAAATTACCTTCTCCAAAGGTATTAGCATTAGGTGGACTACTGCTACGAGTCGAGACCTTAAGTCCAACTTTGCTAGGAAGAGTCGGGGATTTAGATGCGTGATTGCTAGGAGTTGAAACTTTTAATGTATTATCACCAAGTTCAGTTGGTGATTTAGGTACTGGAGGGGTGACCAATTGTTGGTTAGTGTTTGTAGAAGCTCCTGCAGTTTTGTAAGCAGGTGCAAGGATTGGAGAAGTAGAACTTGCTTTTGACACCTAAAGACAAAACTGAAAGACGGTGAACATTTAAATTCTGAAGAAATAGAGTAATATTTTACGAAATTTGTAAGGAACAGACCATAGAAGCATAGGTAACTTTCTTGGCATCCTCTTTCTCCTTTACTGGGTTTTCAACAACTGGATGCACATTCTCCTGTGACGGGTTGGAAGGTTTAGAAACAGCAACTCCAGCAACAGTATCATCAATGACAGAAGGACCCGATGCCCCATTAACAATGCCATCCACAACTACTGGTTCGGTATGCGAAGATGCAGGGTGATCAGGAACATTAGCAGGTTCTGAAAAAACCAAAATTTACAACTAAGAAGGGTATATAAAAGTGAACGGTAACCACAATTGACATGTTTGTTAGGGACAGATTGGGAAACACTAAACAATATTAAGGAAGAAAAATAAGCTAAATCTTGTTCATGAGACTGGCTAATCCTGTCAAGTCATGAATCAAACATGTACATAAAACACTGAAAAGAAAACATCATAAGGCTCTACATCTCTTAAGACTGCCAAATCCTACCTGAATCACATGTAGGAGTAGCTTGATCATTTTCAGTATTGTGGCTGGTCACATCGGGTAGTGACTCGCATACGTCAATAAAGCGTAAGATATCATTCAAAACATAGAAACCTTTCTCTTGTTTGGCCAGGAAGAAAGTCTGAGTGAAGTTCTTTCTCGTATTGTCCTCCACAGTGAAACGACCAGTTACTGCCACTACAACCCCTCCGCCAACAGATTCTTGGGCGTCTGCAGTTTTTATCTCCATAGGCCTTTCCTTGTAATCTGAAGACATGATCTTTTCATTGATTCCCTGCAGCAATAATATGAAGAAAAAAAATTAGTTCAGAAGTGTGGCTAAAATCTAATATAGAATACTCGCATACAATTTGGAAGGTATAAAGGGTAATGTCTTTCATGTTCTTATACAGTTAAGAACAGCGAAATAAGTAACTATTATCTGGGAGGAAAACCCCAAAATTTGGCAATGAAGTTACGAAGTGATGTAAATTCCTTCGATTTAAGTGCGATGTTCCAACAAGTTCAAAAGTAGAAAAAATAGCCATGTGCAACACATTCCAGCACAGTTAATGAAACAATCGGCGACAGATTTTCATATAAACAAATAAAACAATCCAGAAAAAGGTTTCTGAAAGCAAAATTAACAACCTAAAAGGTAGATAAAAGTAAGAAAGAAAAACAGAATTACGGATAGTGACATAAAAACTCCAAGTAACTGCACTTTAAAAAACATCGATGAAATTAGCGTAAGTGCAAAAGCAATTATTTTGATGCTTATATATCAGCCCTTCATAAAGTTCACTTGCAAATAAGTTGATTGTTTTTAGCTGAATTACAGTTATAGAAGTTGATTTTCTATTGTACAATCTGAAACAAATATCGATGAATTTACGAGAACTCAGCCGCCTTTTCCCAAGTAACTTACTTCCAATGTTGTCACTGATATAATTGCATCATCAGCCCCTGGCCATCCTAGTAGGCTCGACTCCTGATAAAACTTATGGACAACTTCAGGGCAGTTATGAAGGTGAGAATAATACTGCGACACAAAGGCTTTTGCCACGGACTGCACGTCAATGTTTCCTCCTGACATCTTGATCCCGATCTCTGCATGTAATAACAGACAAATTGTTGTCAGAACAATGTTTAGAAATTATTAATTGCTTCTCTAAATGATGAAAAAGCTGTTTCCTTGGGAAAGTATGTGAATTTAAATGAGCAAAATAAGACAATTCAGTCTGCAAATGATCACAGTTGCTACCACATGTACGATTGAACAAAATTGAAGAACTGAACATACATAAGATTGGTAGATACATTAATATCATTACAGAACATTGATGAAGAAGGCTGAAATAAGTATCCTTTGCCTTTTGCAACTTTCGTGAAGAGAAAGCAAAAGTTCTTAGAAAGGTTCAAGAATCTAGCAAATGCAGCAAGTATTGACACAATGTTGAGCAGTTGGGAACAAAAATACATCAAAAGAAAAGAAGGATTTTATAAACCTCTCTTCGCGATGCTGAGAATTGTCTTGGATTCATATGGGATAACTTTAATACGAATCGAAAAAATAAATTAAGTTTGCTTTAAAAGTGGAAAAGAATATAAGTACAGGAGATGCACGTGAAGAGCAAATGAGCAGAAAAAATCTAAAAGTAACAGAAGGAATCCTAATGGATTAACTCTCCTGCAACATCAAGAAATTCATAAAAGTCTAATGATCATAAACATTGGACAATAAATGCATATGAGACAATAAACCGATACAAAATTACTCGAATAAATAATAAATATATGCACATCATCTGAAACTGATTTGGTACTTGATAGATATAGAAGCTGGACTTTAATTTCAAAAGTCGAAATGTATTTATTATCTATAATGTGTTTCTGAAAATGGATTTGGAAAAGAGATTGAACCTAGTACACATAGGTTTTTACCCAATTTTGCAAAGAGATAATGTGAATCCATCAATCAGCGAATCAGCCCTTTTCGAGCATAAAGGGATAAAAAATTTCCAACTTCAAAATACAGATCTCAACGGCAATTCATTTATTTTTTTTCAACAAATCATGAAGAACTACACATCAGTCCATAGAGAACATAAAAATCCAATCCTTAATCAATAATATTACAACTACTCGATCTCTGGTCACATATAATCAAGAAACAATTACAAACCTTTATGCTAATCATATTCAAACTATAGAGTCAATCACCAAATGTTAATCTGTTCTAAACATATCAGCCACATTCCGAAAACCAGAAACTAAAAACTTAAGAACCCATATATACTTCCAAAAAAAATTCATGCATTCGCAGAATCAGCCAAAGCAAAAATAATAATAAAATCAGTCTCCAACCAACAAGTATCATGGTCTGTACATTCAATTCAAAAGATACACTAAAACACTTCTAAACCCATTTTTTTACCCTAAAAAACCAAGAACAGGCAGACACCAAGCTTTTTATAAAATGCAATACCCATAAACCATTGTGTTTATAGCAATAAAAAAATCAAATCTTTAACACAAAATATACCATGTTGTGCATATAAAATTCAATGATACATACATGTACAAATGCTTATGAAAATAATCTAAAACCTGTATAAATTAAACTTCTTTTTACCTCAAAGAACAAATCAAAACCACTGCGAGAAAGTGTAACTGAAACCCAATATTTTGAGAATGCCTTTGCAGTATAAAGGGGCGACGGCGTGAATATTGAGTGAATTTATATTAAGGGGTTTCATGAGCAGATTCTGCGAATCAGGCAGAGATTTTGGTTTCCCGAATTGTTCAAAGCACTTTTGGGAATTTGGAGGGAAAGTTTTCCCTTTCTTTCATCCTTGATATTTAGGTATATTGGATTAGATTTATAAAGATTTTATTAATAGATGGATTTCAAATATAAAAATACATATAATCAAATCTCTTGAAATTTCATCATATTTAATGAAATTTGTGAAAATCTATTCAAATCCACGAAATAAATCCACCAAAATCTTAGTCGATGACACCCTGTAAATCTTACTTTCAAAAAATTAAGTCGATAATTCAAAACATAATTTAAGATGAGGAGCACTTTCGATTTAACAATATTAAAATATAAATATTTTAATAAACTTGATATACCAAAAAAAAAATTCTTCAATAAATAAACTAATAGAATATAAAAATTAATTATTAAAGCCATAAAATTATGTCGTGAATAAATTAACAGTTAAATAAATAACTTACTGTCGGTAATACTATGAATAAATTTTTTTAAAAAAAATTCAAGAATATATATTAAGTTATTAACATAATATTAAAAGTTAAAACAACTCTTGTTTGAGCTCCATTTTAATGAGAATTTGAGAAAAAATATATATATATTTGGAATATTAATTTTTTGGAAAATGCATGGTTAAAAATAAGAAAAAATTTCGATTTACATATAATATTATTTTATGGAATAATGCGTAGTTGAAAATGAGTTTTGAAAAAATATATTTTAAAAATGAAGCATAAATGGGGGCTAAAGAACTGAAACTTTTTCGATTACACCGACAATTTCTCCTTCAATGAACATCGAATAATGTATTGCCAACTATTATTGAACACATACAAACAAAATTTGCATTTGGTAATCACTAATTGTTGTGTGTTGATAATCACTAACAATATTGTTATCAATAATTCTATTCAATTGCTAATTTTCATCAAAGTGACGATGGTTGCTCCTAAGAAACTTTTTTGAAAGCAAAGATTTTAAGAATGCCTTTGCGTAAGACTTTTCTATGAGCACGAGGGAAAATGGTGTGTCTTACATGGACCGCTGAGTCTTGAGTAAATATATATAAGAAGGGGATATATTTGGAATTTATCTCCTAAGTATCGGTGATTAACTTATGCTAAAGACTGAGTGACGTGGCACACTGCAATAGGTGGTGTAATCAATTTTTTAATGTGTTATATCACCCCTGGTGCGTAGTAGCACTAGTGCTTAACAGATCAGTCGGATGATACATTATGTACATTGTGTCACTCAAATAAGACTCGTATCTTTGTTTTACATTTGTATAGTATTTTTTTCTGAAATTGAAAGGGAGAGCCAAAATTAGTTGACTGTGAATCATTGGACACAAGTCGTAGATTTGTAACATTGGGGGTCCCTTTTTATGGTTTTGTTAGAAATTGTGTCGTGTGTGAATATTTCCTATGTGCAATTGAAGCAATTAAGAATTTAAATATGAATGATATAATGCTAACAGCTCAACCTTATTTGTTGCGATTTTATTTTATACCTTTTTTCGTGACATTTCGATTAAACTACGAGTCTTTTGCTTAATGTCTAAATTTAAATGAGACTTCCAATTTTAATAAATCCCTCGTAATTTTATGAGCAATCATATATAAGATTTTTTAAACAGTAACCATAAAAATGTTTAAAAATCGGTCATAAGTATTGCCGACGGGAAAATTCATGAGTAAGAAATTAACATCGAACAGATTTAAAATCAACAAAGGTTTTTGTCAATAATTTTCATTATTGAGTGTTTTTTTAGGAGAGATTATTTGAAGTAAAAATTGATTTTATTAGAAAATATAAGATTAAAAAGTAAAAAAAAGTTATAGGTCTACGTGAAAATTTATTTTGTTGGGAGAGCATATTTTTCAAAATGAGTTTGATTTCCAAATAGGATTATGCTAGATGTATATAATCATTTACTCAGTGGATTACACCCCCCTCACATGGAGGGGGGGCTCACACACAATAAAATATTCTTGGTCCCCCCCTTCATGTGAGGGGGTGCACCCCGTGTGTAAACCACCAGGTGTACATCTAGCATAATCCTTCCAAATAAATTGTGTCAAACAAATGATAAATATTATAATAACAAGCTAAATATTACCTTCAGAAAACCGTGTCGGTTGTTAAGTGAATAATCTGAGACTATGAATAAATTTTCAGTTAGGAATAATATAAAGATAAATATTCATATAAATTTAAGAATTAAAATTAATAAAAGGAAAATGCTAAGTATACATAATAAATGTACACAATAAATGACATAATATGATGTGGCAATCATCCTGTCGTTGTTGTGAAAGTGTCAGATTTGAATTAAATGTGTTAATTAATGCCACTTGCAATTATGTAGATCATTATGTACTTGTAGCATCACTCTTAATAAAATAACTTATTCGTCAATAATATTGTACATGAAAAATTTAAAAATAAAAAATATATGTTAAGCTATCCACGAAATATTAAAAATGAAAAAAAAAAAAAAAAAGTTCGGTAATAATGAACTTTTGTCAGTCTGATCGACGACTTATTTACATACATGTTCATTAAAAAGCAGCAATTGGATTAACAATGAACTTACATTTCGAACAAATCTTTGCTAAAATATTTGTAATAGGAACATTTCTACAATTTGTATGTACTGGTCACAACTACATAGGAGCATTTCTACAATTTGTATGTACTGGTCACAACTAAACGTGCGTTGCACGTTATTTTAAAATACTTTATAAACGCCGTAAAAATAATATTTGAAAATCAGTGAATATAAAAAATAGTTAAAAAATTGTTTATGTAAAATGAACTTTTTATGCAATTCAATTATTTATTTACATGTATGATAATAATTAACATTAATTTATATATATCATACTATAATTCTATCAATTAATTCTTCAAGTTTATGCATTTACACTTTATATATATTTTGTGGACTGTTCAATTACTCTAAAAATACTACAATTCAATTATTTATGAATGTCCATATATACTTATTAACATTTATTTATGGATATATTAAATATAATATTAAGTCATCAAATTTATGTACACATGTTTTGAGAGCTATTAATTATTGTAGGAGTAAATAAATTATTCAAGTTCATGAACAAATATTTATTTTCAAGATTATTCATTTTATCATAAATTATTCTAGGAGTATATAAATTATTAAAAATCGTATAATTTGGGAGCTATTCAATTATTACAGGAGTAGATAAATTAATCAAGTTCATGTACACTTATTTAATTTCAATATTATTCATTTAATCTATGATATAACATCATTTATCTAAATG